AAATTGAATTCCTTTATTTATGTAACTAACGTTTTGGTTATCAACTATTCGTATTTTTTTTAAAATTTTAAATATATATATATTATATATCGTAACATATTATAAGAAGATAGTTAGACCTATTCATTATTTTGAAAATTAATCCACAACCACGCTATAGTGCTGTATCTAAATTGCATACCCATATCACCGTGTTAAAATAATATATAATATTGCACTTAATAATTTTTAAAAAAATATATTAATATTAGGTTGATACTAACATAATATTCAATATACCATGACATTAAGATTTTTTAGAATACAAATGTTTTCATATAGAAGAGTAAAATAATGTCAAATGTCTTTAATCAGGTTACCGAAGAATGACGTGAGAGTTGTTGAGAGTCGCCGTAAAATTCTGCACATGAGCTAAAATGAAACTCAAATGCAACAACTAAACAGTCAAATTTTCATAAAAATTAGCTACATTTAAATATTCTGTATTTATATTATCGCAGTATATTCGATTAAAATAATAAAATAAAAAAACAGTAATTTTTTAGTGTCTTATATTATTAAGCATTTTATTATGTTATCATAATGTTAAAAACTTCATAAAACTCATCAAAATACACATTTATTTCATTAAGAAATAATTGATTAAATTAATTATAATTAATTAATTTTGTATCGATTAGGATTAGAAAGTTTGATGCAACGTGTGCAAGTATAACCTTAACGTGGTTAACTTATGTATTTATTTTGTCAAAAGATGGTGGACGTATAATAGTACAAGTATTGTACTTTTTTAGCGTCTTCAATTTGTAATCAGTCCTTTCTTTGTCGTCCATTTTATAGAAACCATTAGGGTGATTTGCGATCCAACGTAATTCTTCCATGGGCCCATCATTTTTAAAATTCCCATTTGTATCTTTTAGAATCCCCAGGACCTGTAGAAAAAAAACTATTTATTATAATAAATAATATTATGTAATAACTTAATTACATTCATAATTTATCACAATATTTATTAAGTTTTTTTGTGATTCCGCAAATAAATATTTTATRATTCTATATTGAAATTATTTAGGGTGATCTCACAAAATTTTTTTAAATTAGAGTTAAGCAAGTCACTAAGAAAAATCACTTTTATATTATTAATTTCTCAAAACACTCGATGTCTCAATAAGTACCTATTCTCTTAAAAAAATGACCATCCTGCAAAAATATTTACAAAATTAAATGTTAAATATTTTAATCATTTTATTAATAATTGAGGAGTATCAAGAATATCTATTACTATAGATGAACTTGATATTCATGATACTTTAAATATATAATGTACAATTTCACGCAATTTATAGAAGTTTTCATAATTGTCTGTTATAAAACATAATATAGTGCTTAAAAGTAAAATAATATAAAATCTATCAATGGGTATTTACCACTTTTATATCACAAAAAATAGTAAACCCAACCAAAAATATATGATTTATAAAATATAAATATACATAAAAATTACACCTCGATACCATCGCGAAACCAACATAGCGCAAATAATTTAAACACAAATTGTTAAAAATATTAGTCTCATGGGTATGRTACCGACACCAATATTTATTATTAAATAGTTGGTCTTCGAATAGAATAGCATTATCGGGATTTATAGATATATAAATTGCAATMTTTTCGATATGATTTTAAAAATAAATGTTGTTATATCGACAAAACAAAACACGATTTTCGTATTCTAAGGGACAAAATTATATTTTCGGGTAAGTGTATCAATGATAATACTATAAGTAACGTCCTTAGTTTTTTTTCTTGTCCTAAACAGTGTCTTTCGATAATTAATCCATGGGATTATTTTACAGGATCACAAATCACCCAAGYTCTCGTCAGTATATCAGTGACGACGTAATTGCGCTTAGGGGTTTTAACGTTAAGTATTTTACGATATGAGACACTCACGTATTTTTATCAACAAACCATAATAACGTTATTATTATACGTATTACGTATATGTACATATTTGTAAGCATACAATTCAGTTAATCCTGTAAAATGCTTTAGGTGTAATTTTGCCCGAATTGAAAATTCTTAATTAATTCTGTATTAAATCTCGCATATGCATCGAATCGTAATGTCAACGTATATTGAGCAACAGATTATTGTCATACATTAAGCCCGAGTGTTATAGACGTAGAATCCTATAATACCCAAGTGTGCGTCTTATATTCACATACACCGGGGATGATTAACGACGGAAGACTATAATAATATACATCATTCATTACTCAGAAACAAGCGTTCAGTTTATTTATGATTTAATTAGGACATATAGGCCTAGTGGAGTAATTGATGATCCCATACACATAAGGCGAGTCATAAAACAAATTGCATATGCAATCAAATATTATATTATATTATCATCACCTATTCTAATGTATCATAATTATTATATAGGTACATATATAGGTACTATATACCTACATCTAATTTATTTCAGCTTTTATATCTTTTCACTGTTTTTATGTTTACCAAAACACTAACAAAATTACTATTTTATTTAGTAGTACTATCATTTTATATGCATAATATACATTTATGACATAACCAACAATAGCAACATAATTATTACACATTTTTTTGTTTTTAAACAAAAAGTGACATTGTCAGAAATTTTGTTACAATTTTCCAACGTAATAGTATTCCGGGTTAATGAAATAAAACTGTAGTAGTGTGTTCCTTAATAATATCACTGTGTCAGAACTTATTTGTACTCCGTAATTTCATCTAATAAAAAAGGATGACTACCACTGATATTTTAAACTTTTCAAAAAAATAAATTTGGTTTAAAATTTTGGACCCATTTACTAAGCGAATATTTTAGAACTTTCTACGTATATTCAGACGATTATGAATAAGAGCGTGTGTTTAGGCGCTTTATACTTTATGTTATTTTTATACAAAAATAATAAATATATTCAATAATAAAATATTGTATTATACAAATTTAGCTTTTGATCTGTCAGAGTACAGAAAGCGCTGTCCTTTTGATATTATGTGGGTAAGGCAAACATTCAAGATTTTGACATTTTAATATATTATTTATAACACATTTCAAGTACCTACAAAATATTTACAACAGAAAGAGTTATCAATAATTATTGTGTAAGACTAGTTTAACTAAGTTTACAAATTGGTTAAATAATATGTAATACTCCCAACATTGTGTATTTGATATAGAGCAGGGATAAAAAATCCAAGGCATGTGAAAAAAATGTTTGAGTCACATTAATAATGTTTTTACTATTACCTATATCACTTAAATATGCGTTTAGATCACGTTTTTAAAATTATTTACACAGGGCAGGTATACAATTATAATGAAAAACTGTTCATTGGTAAGCACATCACTCGAGAATATCTGTTTATGGCAGGGAGAGAAAAGTTAGAAAAGTTTCCCGGAATTAGAAAATTTATAAAAAAACAAAATGCCCGTTTTCAATAGGATTTTTTTTACATAAATGGTCGCCATTGGTAGATTGAAAACAGTAATAATAGAAAACTAGAAGCTGCACGCCCACACGTTACATATAATATCAAACTAGAAGCCACACGCCCACACACAATACAATTAATAAGGTATAATAACTTTAAGATTTGGCAACTATATTTTTAAACTACGTCTATCCAATGTTWGACTCGACTGGATCATTTTCATTAGAGGTTATATCAATAGATTACTTGAGATTTGATGTAACTCGCACATTATTTTTTTTCAGTTTACAAAAAAGAATCATACAATTATTATTGCACTATTTGACGAGCGTGAAAACTTAACTTTATATTACCTTTGACACGTTTTTGTTTTTAAATGGTATTTGATATTTTTTTATGTTAGTTGTTAAACAGACACGTCTGAAAAAATGATAATGTTATTACTATTGTATATATATATATAAACTATTCAACTATTATCGGCTTGGATATAATAATACAATAGGCGTGTATTTAATACCAGATGTTAAAWTATTAAAGAAACATCGTTCAAAAACAATTATTTACGTTGCTGAAATGTAGAATAGGTACGTTGTTATTTTTAGCATGTCATATTGATATTATAAATTATAATACTATAAACTTACTCATAGCAATTGCGAAAATAGTGTTACGTACAATGTGTCTTTACGTGAACCTAAACTAAATATACTATTCTGATCTGTCAAATTGTGATTCAACTCAACTGTGATTTTATAGTATAATATATTGTGCAAGTGTACAGATTTAAAAAAATAATAATTATAACGTCACTCATCTGTTCGGCGATTATAACTGATTTGGAACATTATTTTATTCACATAAGATTATTTTGTATAGTTAAAAATACAATTCATAGAATTCGATGGTCAATTTTTTTGCCTACGTCTTCAATATTATCTTAATGCTATTGAAATAGGTGATATGTAGAAAAAAAAAACCTTAAAAAGCGTTTCCAGTTTTTCGGTAGGTAATGCACTAGGCACGATAAGCGAGCGCCTTATAATAGTGTTGTATGCGCCAACTAGTTTAGTTCACTCAACAATTAAATTAAATTATAAAAAAATAAATACAGTACCAATTGCTTAATAATAGGCCAATAATGAGCTGAGGCAGCACCTTGCAAAAAATTGTATATTTAAGAACAAAAGACTGTGGTGTTAGGGCAGTGCCTGTAGCTAGTTTTGCAGGTACGATACTAATGTTTTTGATGTTTTGTTAGGAATCTTTATCTGAATTTTTGTTTTAAAAATAATGAAATGATATTGTAATATTTTAAATTATTAATTGTAATTCTTTTTGAGTGTATCTACTATCCGAAAAGATAGTTATACGAAAATAGGTACTTACTATATGTGTTTATTTCATTGTTCGACTTCGTTAATTACGGCAATTAACTAATTTCCTCTTAACAGGAAAACTAATGAACCTATCTAATATTTGATTTTATTTACCTATTATTTACCCACACATACAATATCTTGAGTCAAAATTAACGATTTTATTTTATTTTTCATTTTCATCTCCATCCATTATTTGATCGAAATTCATTTAATATCATGTAAAATAAATCTGTATGTACTCTTGCACAATTAATGAACTCCTCGAAATGTTTTCGATTTAATTTTCTCTTAGAATTTTTTACTCAAAACTAACTTAATAATAAAAAATCGTTATTATTATGCATTTCTTATAAACATTTCAATTCATTAAAGAAATTAAAGTTGACTAGTAAACGAATATGTTTTTTTTCTAGAGCCTAACTATGTCATGTATGAGAATTTCAATAAATGATCTGAAATCTAATCTCTTCAAAAAAAGTTTTATATTAAACAACTTTATTATAAGTATAGAGTAATCGAATTAAAAATTGTCTAATACCAATGTTTTGTTAAACGACAAAAATAATAACACGGTAGGGATAATAGTTTTTCAAACAAATTAATAGTAAGTTATTTAACTWATATAATATTTTTTTCGTATGCGCAGTACATTTTTAAATAACGTTAAATATTATGAGTTTCAAATATGTGAGCATGTGAAGTGGTACCTTTAATAAGCGTGGAGTAAATAATATACTTAAGGGCAAGCAAATAAGTATGATATCACATGCCCCATTGATCGTTTCATAAACGTTCCAATAATTTGATTTGTTTTCTGCTTGTCATTTGCTAATGACAAATGCACTCAACTTTTTGAATTTAATTGAAATTAAATTCGTTAATAAACCTCACATTACTTATACTTTGTTATGGAAAAAAATAAAATAATGCATGGACAAATTAATAACTTATATTTCTGTGACTTTAATGCGCAGTTAGTATTCATGAGTTAAAATTATTTATTATAAGACCGTGGAATATTTATAAAATATAAGTCGTCCTTTGGCCGAGATTGATGATATTGTATATTTGAGGTTCTAAAGTTTATTAATATTTTTTTCCAATGCAAAATGCTGATGCAGTTGCATCGATCTAATTTTTTATTATTTTATAGTTTTAAAAGTTAATAAAAATTTGGTTACACATAGAACAAACATTGAGGCTTYACATATTAACGTCAATTTGTTACTGCAGAATGGTTATTCTCACCTAGGATTTATTATGTAGAATTCTTGGAAGGTTAAATAGATTTTGCTCACATAAACTCAAAAATCGACAGCATAGTTAATTGTAAATTGATAAATTATAATTATGTTAACGGTTATACTTATATTTGTATAAGATGTATAGTAAATATATTTTCTTTTTAAATAAAAAAAAACCCCGTTAAAATGATTTCTGTACTACTGTCTGTTATGATAGCTTACGTTGCAATTATAATTTATAATATCAAATCAGATATAATGCCTTGTAGAATGGTTTAGAATCTAAATAATTTTTAGTCTTCATAGCTATGACACTTCAAATACATAATAGAAGGATTTTTGATTAAAATAATATAAATTTTTAGGACAAATAGTAAAAAAAAAATCCAGTAACAATAATATATGAATTGAAAATTTAAATAATTTTTCGTGTTTTTGACTAAAATCAAATCTTAATGCAAACATTTGTTTGAATTTATGCAATTTCGGATGTAAAAACAAAACAAAATAATATAAATTTGTGTTTTATTAAACTTGAATTTGTGTAAAAAAAACATTTATTTCACAACGATGGATGACCGAAGTAAAAGAAATGGCCTGATTATGGATATTTAAGTTTATTAAAACCAAAGAGAACCAYGCTGTATCCATCTTCACAGGAATAAATAGTATTTTTCTTTTCTAGGTTTTATGGAGRAAAAAAACTATGCAAGTGGCTATTGTTATAGTTAATTTACTTAAGTATACATTTTCAGTTGTATTTTTATTTTTTAATAAGAATTCAATTTTTTAATTTATTGTTTAAATTGTGTTTGAACCTACAATAGTTTTTTTTTCAATTACGACGTTATTATAATGTTTTCAAAAAATCCTTTGAAATCTCCCCCGACTTGCAAAACTTAAATTTTTAACAATGCCAAAAATTTGTGAAAAAATTCAATTCTATGCCAAGCGTTCACGCGCCAAGTCACGTTGTTTATTTTTAAGATAACTCGGTAGTTTTCTTAAACGAAATGAATGGCTATTGAAATGGACATTGATGGCGTGTATATGTTTTTGATAAGTCATTAGTGATTACTGATCACAAATGGTTCAAAATTACTAAACATACCATAATTCAATCGGAGCAGCATAATATCATGATGGAGGTTAGATTAAGATTTAGTGATTCTTAAGATACGGTGTTCTGTCTAAAGATTAATTTGTATGTAGTTGTGAAAAATTATGTGTAACAAAATTAATTCTGAATATGTACATTCTTATGTACCTATACTTTTATGTGATTTTTAAATATAAAATGAGTAGGTTTTAAAATATTAATTATTATATATGTTAAAGTGTATGACCGCAGTAGGCGAATGTTGACAGTCACTGGTGTAGATTGACATAATATACCAAAAACTGTAGTGAATTTTGACGAAATTGTCTTAATGCGTTCATACACCGGTGATTGTTGACATTTACAGTCAGTGTTTGGTAAATGTTGACCACACTTGAAGCACAATGTATGTAAAAGGTATTTTTGTATTATTTTGTAAAATTAAGATGTTATCGCCCAGCCACAATATGCATTGGAGACGCCAAACACAAGGATCCATCAAAAGGGCAAACCAAGATTTCCAAAATATACTGAGAGCTATAATGGAAGATAATGACACTACAAAATTGTCAGAAGCATTATTACCATTTGTCCGATTTRCGAAAAATACGACGTATCATCAAGGTATTAAGCAAACGCCATACGAAGCTATGTTTGGYGTTAAAGCACAAAGAGGTTTTTTAACATCTTCTCTTCCACGAGAACAAATAGAAAAACTAGCAACAGAAGAGGAGTTAGAACAAATAMTTCAGTMTATAAGTAAGTATAAATTATAAAATWAAATTAAATATATTAATATGCAGTGAYACCTTATATGCATAAAGTGTGATCGATATATAGTGACTAAATAAGAATTTTTTTTGACAGCCCCTCAAACTGACCCAGAAAATAAAGGAAGTGATGAAAATGAAGTAAAGGAAGAGCCTAACGGTAAAAGCGACGATAATCTTGACAATCAAGCAAATAATGATGAAGATAAACTCAGCGATAAAAGTGATGACAAAAACCAAAATGAATTATTAAGTATGTAATTTAAAATAATAATACCTATTACAAAAATAATTCAAACCAATATTTT